CAACCCAACCAGGGCCGGGGACAAATTGCAACCCAGGTACATGCCTTTAGCAGGAACTGAACCCGGGACTCTCTGGACCTCAGGCCGACGCTCTAACCGCTGAGCCAAACCGGCCAGGGCTGTCTTTTTCTTTTTAAATAAAAGCAAGTGTCTAGTAATTCATTAGAAACAGACACACATACAGAAACACAAATATAACTCATATTTATTCAGTTTATAAAGTGCTTTCATATGCAAAATCTCAATTTAATCTTCACAGAATTTCTGAGAGGTAGGAATTATTGTGCCCATAAGGAAACAGATAATTTTTACAGGTAAGGAAACTTAATCCTACTTTATCTGACTCAGCTTGAGGTCTATGACACATCACAGACAGATGCCCATACATATTCATGTACAGGAAATGGGAACACATGCTCATATGTTAATAAATATGGCTTTCAGAACCATTCCCTGGGATCCAGTAGTTGCTAAATAAATTGTAGAGTAAAACAAAACCCAAACCAACAAATCCCATCATTTTTATTTGTATTGAAATGTATCTGTTTACATAGAGGTCTCCAGCACAGCTCCTGAGCTTATCCAAGTCAATCTGGGCATTCCACAACAATACAGAGTTGTGTGTACTTGGCTGCTTATTTCCATGGACATGGTTAAGAATACCATGAGTCCAAAAAGCACAGTGGTAAGCAATGTTGTTATGAATCTTTAAATTTTTGTTCTTAATTATTTTTCCTTCTAAAAACAGAGATAAAACTGATGTACAGTAAAGTGCAGAAATATCAAGCGTACACCTTGAATTTTTACAAAGTGAACACACTCATGTAACTAGCCTGCAGATTGAAATCTAGAACATTTCTAGAAAGCTTCCTTATGGCACCTCTCAGTCAGGAGTCCCCCTCTCCAGGTAATCTCTTCTAACTTAATTTTGCGTGTTCTTGAACTGCATAAAAATAGAGTCATAAAATTTACTCTTTTGTGTCTGGCTTCTTTCACCAACATATCTTTGTGATTTATTCATTTTGTGTGTAGCAGTAGTTTTTATTGTTGCTGTGTAGTACTCCAATTTTTAATTATAGTACAATTTATTTACCCATTAATTAGTGATGGACATTAAGATTGTTTCTATTCTTGAGTTATAATGAATAAAGTGGCTTTGGACATTCTAGTACATGACTTTTGATGAACATGAACATTTTCTGTTGGGTATATGCCCAGGAATGAAATTGCTGGGTCATAGGGTATGATTATTATTTTTAAAATTTATTTATTTTTAATTTTTTTATCCTCACCCGAGGACATTTTTCTTTTTTGTTCAGATAGAGTGGGAGGGAAAGAGAGGAAGAGAGAAACATCGATGTGAAAGGGACACATCGAGTGGCTGCCACCCGCACATCCCAACCAGAGCCGGGGACAAACTGCAACCGAGGTACATGCCCTTAGCGGGAACCGAACCCCGGTTGCTTGGGACCTCAGGCTGAAGCTCTAACCGCTGAGCCAAACCAGCCAGGGCTGATTATGATTTGTTTTTAATTTAGGGATTTATTTATGCTTGTACTGTTATCTACCAAATAAAAACCAGTGGGAAAAAATTGTCTTTAAGTAAAAATTGTGATATTTCTGCTTTTCATAACTAGACAAGCAAGAAGCTATGATTAGAAAGCATCAAAGAGTATGTCCTGTATTTTCACCATAAATGTCTTTGCTGAAAGCATTTTTTTCACAAACATTTTCGCCACATAACTAATTAGCCATAAGGCAATTTTGCTGTAAAAAAAGATAAGATAATTAGTTGCCACTTTGATTTTTTGTTTGTTTGTTTGTGTTCATTTCTCCATTGACAAACCAATCAACTGTCTTTGAAGACTTAATGTGTTTAAGCTAGTTGTTAGTTTGGTTTCATTTCTGCATTGAGGAAGTTCTCACAGTTACTTTCATTTTTATATTATATATAAATCTTAGCTAGTCCCCATAATGGTCTGTACAGTGATGACTAGATATGATGGTGCTCTTAAAATAGCATTTCTTCCAGAAGACAGTAATTTGCTGCAAGAGTTGGTTTTTTGTTTTGAAACAACTACAGGCATCTCTCATTTTATTGCTTTGTTGCACTTCGAAGATACTGTATTTTTTACAAATTGAAGATTAGACCTTCCATCAGCAAAAAGATTATGACTCCCCGAAGGCTCAGATGATGGTCAGTATTTTTAGCAATTCAGAAATTTTAAATTAAGGTATGTGCTTTTTAAAGACAATGCTATCACACTTATTAGACTATGGTATAGTGTAAACATAAGTTATATTCGCTGGGAAACCAGAAAATTCGTGTGACTTGCTTTATTGTGACCCTCACTTTATTGCAGTGGTCTGGAACTGAATCCAAAATATTTCCAAGGTATGCCTGTACATTGGGAGGAGAAAAACAGGCCGAAGGCTCTCTTTGAGCGCACAAAGTTGAACCCACAGTTCTCACACAACGAAAACTAGTGCTTAGGTACAATCCACAAAATAAAATCTGTTATTTGCACAGGATTGCCATGAACCTACACACATTTTAAATCGCCTTATTGCCAATTAGTTATGTGTGATGAAAATGTTTGCAGCAAAGATGTCTACAGGGCAAAGGTGCTACAACAAAAGCACCCAGACCCATAGAAGAGACAGCTCCCTTTTCTCTCCCGTTTTTTTGTAATCCTCACCCCAAGGACATCTTTGAATTTCAGATGGAGCAGGAGGGAGAGAGGGGAGAAAAGAGAGAGAGAGAGAAACATCAATGCTAGAGAGACACATTGACTGGCTGCCACCCACACAACCCCCACGGGGCGGGGACAAACTGAAACCGAGGTAGGTGCCCTTAGTGTGAACCAAACCTGGGTCTCTCTGGACCCCCCCCCCCATCCAAACTGGCCAGGGCTCTCATGTTGTTTTCAAATACAATAAAATCTAATGGTGATTTCGTGTTTGATGTCTTCAATTATTAGCAATGTTTGTTTGTTTGTTTGTTTGTTTGTTTATGTATTTATTTATTTATCTGAGAGAGAGAGAGACAGATTTGGTTGTTCCACTTATTTATGCATTCATTGATTGCTTCTTGTATGTGCCCTGATGGAGGATTGACCCAGAAACCTTGGTGTTTCCAGAGGATGTTCTAATCAACTGAGCTACCTGGCCAGGGCAGCAATGTTTGTTATAGGTGATCTATAATCTCCATTATAGTCCGGCAACTCCGGTTGGAATGGGCCCAGTCTCAAAAAATGGCTCAAGTTCAGCTTCAAGTTGGTGAGTGGGCATAACCGAACTCATATATAGCTAAGTGTGGTTTGTTCTATATAATTGCCATGACCCCTGTGTAAGATCAAACAGTTCCTGTCTTTTCCAGAAAAACTGGGGGTTCTAGAAAAGTGGACACAGAAGGATTTAATTTGGAAGAGGTAGTGAAGGAAACAGAAAATCTCAGATTTGTGAAACACGTGGTTTGAGTCTTCTAAATTACACTGCACAATAGGCCCCAACAGAGGGGCCTCTAGAAAGTTCTCCAGTGGTTGGGGCTCCCTCTCCCACCCTTTTTTCTGATAAGAAAATTTAGAACCGGGAGGAAGCAGAGAGGGTCCTGGACTTTCTGGCCTCAGCTGGAGTGGAAGTGTGCCAGCCAGCGCCAGGATGCGTTTCCTGGGCCTCTTGGAACATAGGAGGAGGATTGCAGGGCAGAGCGGCACCGGCACCGTCACACAGGCCAGGCTCCTAGTTCACGGCCAGTGAGCCAGGGCCAACTTCCAGGAAATTCCTTAGTTCTCAGAGAAGGGGGAAGGAATTCTCTTTTCCCACTAGCACTTCAGGATTTTATAAGATCCTCTCCCATCCCCTCCTTCAACGTCTCTCCTCCCCTCTTTGTGCTGCCATCTTTGGGTCTCCTCTTTCTGTCTCTGACTCTGTCTCTCTCTCCGAAAACATGTCATATGTGTCTTGTCTCAAACCGCTTTCCCCACCCTTAAACGGAAATCCAGACCCCCTTTCACAGGCCAGGTCTAGAAGCCCCCTATCCCCTTTAAGTCTAAATTTTTTGTGTCCCAGGCTCCAGATCTCACGTCTCCTTCTTTGGCGCTCTGTCCTCCTCCTTTCTCTGCCCCAACCCGATCTTCGATCCGCCTGGGCCAGTAGCTGGGGTCCCTGGGGAAGAAGCGTCCCGGGCACTTCCCCGGACGGGGAGCAGCTTATTATAGTGCATCCAGGATGGGAGGGGCATCTGCGATGGTAGCACCCTGGACCCAAAGCAAGGGGCTCCCAGAAATGCCCTTTAATTCCTATTTTCTTGCTTCTGCTGCCTCAGGCTTACTCCCAGGTTCCCCTTTCAGGCCTCCAGGCCTCCCGGCCCCACCCCCAACTCCCCTTCCCCCCCCACGAGATGGACACTTTATAGGGAGAGCTTTATTCTCTCGTTAAACGTGCCAAAGCTCAGGAGACAGAGCCAGGAAGGGAAAGGAGGCGACGGAGGTGGGGGCAGCTCCTTGTCCCCTCTCCCTCCGCCTCCCACTTCTCCCTTCCCCCAGAAAAGCAGCGAATGGGCACCTCCTATCTTCTCTCGCGTTTTCAAATGAGAGAGAGCGAGAGAGACACAGAGAGAGACAGAGAGAGAGACAGAGAGAGAGAGAGAGACAGAGAGAGAGGAGGGAAGGAGGGAGACAGAGAGCGAGAAGAGGGAAGGAGGGAGGGAGAGAGAGAGAGAGAAGAGGGAAGGAGGGAGAGAGAGAGAGAGAGAGAAGAGGGAAGGAGGGAGAGAGGGGGAGAGAGAGAGAGAGAGAGAGAGAGAGAGAGAGAGAGAGAGAAGAGGGAGGAGAGGGAGGCGGAGGGGGGCGTAAAGTATTTTCGCAATTTCTGCCAAGGAGATTTTATTGCTTCTCTCCCCAGGCCGCAGCCAATCAGTGCGAGTGCCCGGGCACCTGCGTCTCTTGCGTCAAGACGCCCAGGCCGAGCGAATGCTGGCGCCCTTCGAGCTCCGAGCGATTTAAAACGCTTTGGATTCCCCGGGCCTGGGTGGGGAGAGCGAGCCGGGTGCCCCTAGAACCCCCCACTCTCAGCACCCCATGAGCCGACCCTCGGCCTCATGGAGCCGGGCAATTATGCCACCTTGGACGGGGCCAAGGATATCGAAGGCTTGCTGGGAGCGGGAGGGAGTCGGAATCTGGTCGCCCACTCCCCACTGACCAGCCACCCAGCCGCGGCGCCGACGCTGATGCCAGCTGTCAACTATTCCCCCTTGGATCTGCCGGGCTCTGCGGAACCACCAAAGCAGTGCCACCCGTGTCCTGGGGTGCCCCAGGGGGCGTCCCCAGCTCCGGTGCCTTATGGCTACTTTGGAGGCGGGTACTACTCCTGCCGATTGTCCCGCAGCTCTCTGAAACCCTGTGCCCAGGCAGCCACCCTGGCCGCCTACCCCGCGGAGACTCCCGGCGCCGGGGAGGAGTACCCCAGCCGACACCCAGAGTTTGCCTTTTACCCGGGGTACCCGGGACCCTACCAGCCTATGGCCAGTTATTTAGATGTGTCAGTGGTGCAGACTCTGGGCACCCCTGGGGAGCCTCGCCACGACGCCCTGATGCCGGTGGAGAGTTACCAGCCCTGGGCCCTCACTGGTGGCTGGAACAGCCAGATGTGTTGCCAGGGAGAACAGAATCCACCGGGTTCCTTCTGGAAGACGGCATTTACAGGTAACCTGATTCACTACTCTGGGTCCCCTTGGCACCAAGTATGCGGTTTTAGACCCCACTGGTACTTGCCTGGGAGGAAGTGGAGGGAGACGTGGGGCTGGCGGAGAGGAGTTTGGTGATCCTCTTTGGCGATTAGGACTCCGAAGGAAGGTCCCAGTAGTTGGAAAGCCTGGGTAGAGCCCCCCCTCCTGCCCAGGTCAGTGTGAGGGGCCAGAGCTAGGTACCATCTGCAACCAGTGGGCCACCAGGCCCCTTCACATCCCTCAGAGGTCTTGCGACAAGCCTCTCAATATATTTGCGTTTGGCTTTCTTTGCTGCTGGATTGGGCTCAGGATGTCCCTACCCAGCAGAATCCAGTTTAATTACACACACACACAAAAGCTAAATAACTTGACATTCAGTGAGTGTGGGACGTGGGAACCAAGATACTGGAAATTCTGGAGAGTAAACAGTAAACCCCTCACTTTCTCTTTGATGATTTTTTCAAGAAAAATTTAGATTTCCTGCAGGCATAACTTAGGTATGTGTATTGGTGCGTGTGTGTAGGGGGTGAGGCAGAAATGCGTTCCCTTTTGTACAGAATTTGCCTGTAGAATCTATAAGAATGGCCAAGAATCTGAAATGCATGTGAGGGTGGATATATGAGATCATGGGCAAAGGTCTGGCTGTGTGTAATAGGTGTGTTTGCAGACTTGCAGGTGTGAGGACAGTGATGGGTGAGGGTGGCCTATGGGAGCCTGCTCTTTCTAAGGCTGAGAGGTGATCAGAGAACTAGCCAGAAGCCCAGGTGTCCAGGTAGTTTTGGGGGAGTAGGGAACACATGTGCGACTGTAGGGTGACCTGGGTGCTCCTGCAGGATAACTTAGTCTGTGGGGCCTGGGTCTGTGCCTATATGGGGGCCTGAACATGACTTTCTCTTCCTCCCTCTTCCACCTCGCAGACTCAAGCGCTCAGCACCCTCCAGAAGGCTGCACCTTCCACCGAGGCCGCAAGAAGCGCATACCCTACAGCAAGGGGCAGTTGCGTGAGCTGGAGCGAGAATATTCAGCCAACAAGTTCATCACCAAGGACAAGAGGCGCAAGATCTCAGCAGCCACCAGCCTCTCAGAGCGCCAGATTACCATCTGGTTTCAGAATCGCAGGGTCAAGGAGAAGAAGGTCCTTGCCAAGGTCAAGACTAATGCTACTCCGTGAGGAAGCTCCCTGGCTGGGGAGGTGGGGGGAAGGTGTGTGGTATCCTGCGGAGGCCAGGAACTTGCCAGGGACAGGCTGGGGCCCAGGACTCTGCTGAGGGGCCCCCAGAGTGACACTTTTTTCAGGCCATGGCTCCTGTGCTGTTTCTCAGGGACAATCTGAGTACCCTATATGTCCCAGTGAGCCAGTGAAGCCCAGAGTTACAGCCTAATCTGCCAGAGTGACATCACCTAAAGGACCTGTCCCAGTCGTAATCATTCATCCTGGCAGTGGCGATAATCACCATAACCAGTACTAGTTGCTATGATAATTAGTCTTATACTTTCTATCTTGAGCTCTGTGGAGCACTATGGAAACTACTTTCCTGGAATGAGCTGATCATAATAAACTTGGAAGGAGATGGTGACAGGGAAGCTTCCTCTGGATCCCCTTCCATTTCCAAAGCCCATCCCTCATCCCAGTGCCAGCAAGGAAGAGGAGATAAGGCAGTGTCACCCCTGTGACTATGTTGCCCATTTAGCATTTTTCTAAGATGATGGCTGGGCAGGATAGAAGGTGCTTCTCCCTGCCCTGCCCACCCCATAGGTTGTATTCCCAACTCTTAGATTTTATCCTTGTATGAAAATAAAGCCAGTGGGCTGCCCTCTGGGGTCTGTCCTCTTTCCTTCCAGAGAAATGGAGTTTGAGGAAGTAACTGGATAATTCACCATTTCTCACTTCTGCCCCGAAACTTTCCAAATCTTCCCTCAAGTTCCTGGTGGTTCTTACCTAAGCAGGTAATGGGAGCTCCAGGAAACAGATACCTGTTGCCTTCAAACTCGGTCCCTCCCAGGCACAAAGAGTTACAGAAGGAGAGAGTAGAATCCTACCCTACTGGCAAGCATGTCCCAAACATGTTATAGTATAGCTGGGCAGGAGAAAAACCCCACAAAAAATGGCCCCTTTACCACCCATTTCTGCACTGCTTGGCTTCTTTTGACACCCAGCGGAGCTTGCTGGTCTCAGGCGTGGGAAATGCAGCAGGCCCTTTTGTGTGTGAAAGAACCAGAAGCCCAAAGATGGGGAACACCATGCAGTCTAGGTGACAGTGGCCAGACTTCATTTTTTTTTTTTCACTTTGCAGTGGTTCAGTCCACCCATCCTGAATCCTGGGTGGGTGGAGAGTGGGTTGATGCAACACTTTTCCTGGCCATGTAGACAGAGACCCATAGTGCAGAATTCCAGAAACCTGGTGGGGACCAGCTCTTCGGCTCTCCGTGGAGCCAGAGACTCTGACACCCAGTCTCCACCTCTGTGCCAGCTCCCTGATGTCGCTAACTTAGGTATAGTACCAGGTGGGACTTGTTCCCTTGGTGGCATCAAAGCCAGCGGGTTTGCACTGGCCTTTCCTGCAGCACGGGCTGGGGGGATCTAGGAAGATATGCTTCCTGCGATAGATCAAGCGCACAGGTGTGAAGTGGAGAGGACCCAACAAACCCACTTCCAAGTCACTCAGCAACTGGAGCAGCAGAGTTCTCCAGGAAACCCCAGAACGGCTGCTGCAGCAGAAAGATCTGGGTATTTCCAGCCTGCAGTGAGATGGGATTCCAGACCTGGCTCCTCTCCTGGGAAGGAGTTGGGAAGCGACTCAGACTCTTCTAAATCTGTTTACCAAAAAGCAGCTGGGGCTGAGGGAAAGGCCCCAAGGCTGGTGGTCACCCTTCCTTCCTGGGACTCTTAGAGTGTGTGTACTCAAGGGCAGTGTGTGTCAATTTCGTGATTTAAAAAAAAAAAAAAATCAATCCAAGCCCCGTGGTCCAGTCTAAGCTCCTCTGTAAGCCGGTTCAGAGGAGGTTGCTTTCTGCCTCCCTTCGTCCCCTTCAAGTGAAGTCCCAAGCAAGTAGCTTTTAATATCAGTTTCTCAAGAAGACTGCGTGCGAACCCACTATCTTTGAGAAATTATGAGACTTCAGCATGTGTGTAGGGTGTGGGACAAATGACCAGCGTGTGTGTAGGGTGTGGAAGCGCCATGCTGTGGAGTCCTCACACTCGGAGGGGAAAGGCCACAACAGGGGTTGCCACTTGAACTAAACTGGATGGCCTACGTGGAGGCTTGAAAGAGCGCCTCGAGACTCTCTGGACTTCCTCCTCTTCACTATCAGGGACTTCAAGTTCCGGGGTTCCTCTATTATTTGCTCGCAATAATTTCAGAAAGAACAAAAGATTTGGGCTTTATTTCACTACCAATGTAAATTTGGACGATTAAAAAGACAAGGGCGCCCCCTTCCGTCAGAAGCTCGTCATTTCAGGGAAACCTGCGGATCCGCTCCGTTGTAACCCGCAACCAAGCCTCTGTCTTCGTGGTGCAAGGAGCCTCCGGGATTGCAGAGTTCGGGGCTGCGTGTCCTGCAGAGCGCGAGGACCCGGAGTTGTCTGGGCCAGGGTATCGGCAGATCTGTCGGTCCAGACACCAAGAGACCCAAGAGGGAAGTCAGGAGGGCAGCACGGGCGATCTCGAATGGAGAAAGAGCAGGGCGGTTAGGACTCCCGGGAGCAAAGCCACGGCGCCATTGGCCCTCGGACCAGGTCTTCATTCCACAGGAGTATTATTGTAGTCATCTTCCTCATCAGAACAATTCCTGGTGGACTTCCCTTTTATTTTGTGTTGTTTTGTTTGTCTGAGTGACTTACTTGTATGGACCTTGAACAACAACAAAAAACACATTTAAAAAAATTTTGTTTTGTGTTAAATCTTTTTTTTTTTTTTTTTTAAATCACCAAACACCAATTTTACTCCCGAGGCGAATTATGATTCCCCTCAGCCCCGCACCAAGACCGACCATTTAAGATTCGTTCACTAATTTATATATACATTACAACAAAACGCACACATCTATATTTACTTGCTCGCAGCTTTGCTTTTATTTGTTTGTTTGTTTGTTTTATCCTCACCCGAGGACATTTTTCCATTTTTTGTACAGATAGAGTGGGAGGGAGAGAGAGTGAGAAACATCGATGTGAAGGGACACATCGAGTGGCTGCCACCCGCACGACCAACCAGGGCCGGGGACAAACTGCAACCGAAGTACGTGCCCTTAGCGGGAACCGAACCCGGGTCTCTCCGGACCGCAGGCCAACGCTCTAACCGCTGAGCCAAACTGGCCAGGGCGCAGCTTTGCTTTTAAATAGGGTCCTTTTAAGCTATATAAGAGAGGGTTTTGCTAAAACATACAGACTGAAACCTGTGAACGCGACGTTCACAAATAGGCACATTCAGACAACATTTACACGCACAGGTGCACTAATACCCTCCGGAAAACCCACTGGGCGTTTTTTACCAACAAGGCGTAATTTTACTCGGAGCTGTGCTCCCCGCCCTCTCCCTCCCTTGGAGCCAACCGGCTCCTCCGGCTGAGCTTCAGCAAACGTGGAAACAGGCTAGTGGGTCGCGTCTACGCTGGCTCCAGGAGCGAAATCACTTCCACTTCCAACCCGGACAGATTTTATTAGGCTTCCAGAGGCCGAATTAGGGGTAGTAGTGGAGAGGGGCGCAGACGAGGCCTCCGGAAGCGTTTCTCGAATCTAGGTTCCCGCAGCGGCGCAGCGCGGAGCGCACTCGAGTCCCCAGTTCCGGGGTCCTTGACTCTTGCTGGCAAACGCTGCTGGCCGACCCGGGACTCTGGAGGCCGACGCGGGGAGTGCATCCGCCCCGCCGACCCTCACCCTGCCTCCTGGTCACCCAGACTCTGAGTCGTTCCAGGGCTAAAAGCTGTCCTTGCGGAAGGAAAAAGGCCCTGATCAAGTCTCCCAGTTCTTCGGCTGCCGCCGGTTCCCCTCCTCCAATGCGAAGCAAGCTGCCCTCATCTCCTCCACTTCATTAAAATTGTATTCAAGGTTCTAAGTGATGCACTTCAATTATTTTTTGGGGGGTGGGGGAGGGTGGAACTCTTTGTGCTGTCGCTCCAAGGAACCTGAATTAAAGAAATGAAATCGTTACCGTCAACTTGAAACAAAGCGCGGAGGCGACTACTGCGGAGAGAGCGAAAGGAGGTTCCGTTGTTTTTGAATGAAATATACATCATATTCTCACTCACCCGAATGGTCCCTCTTTGGGAAGGGGGGGGGTAAAGCACTGGAGCGGCCCTCAGTCTCTCATCCTAGTGGGACCCCCCACCCCTGCAGCCACCCAGGCCAGGGTCAGATTTTAAGACATCCGATGAGGATGCCAACCTTCCTTCCTCTCTCAGCTACTGGTTATTTCTGTGTAGAAAGGGGGTGGGGATGGTTGGAGAAGACGGAGTTCCACCACCGACCCCCTTTCCTAAATTGCTCTCAAAATGAGAAAGGGCTAGGGGGTAGCAAGAATTCAATCGCACCCAGAATGACGGAAAGGGAAAGGCGGCGTCTAGACGGAGCCCAGAGAGGAGGGGAGGATCAGGGACATTGCCATTGAACTTGAAGTTCCAGGCTGACCGTCTCCGCCGCCCCCATCCCACTCTGCTAAAAGCTTTATTGGAAGAGGGAGGAAGATGAGGTAAGGCGGGGGGGCGCATCTCTGGCCTTGGAAAGGAGAGAGGAGGCCAAGCGGCCAGAGTGACCAGGAGACGGGCTGGAGACACAGAGTTGGCAGGGAGGCGAGGAGGCCTCGGTCTGCACTGCAGAGGGGACACTACAGTTTTCGCCCGACTCGCAGCCTCGAGGCAGGGAGCCTCAGACTGTGGCGCCCTCTCGCTGAGCCTCCCCTCAGTCTCTGCCGGGAGGGGCACCCAGTGCTGCTTTGTGCCGTTTCTCCTCCAGCCTACGGTGCTCGAGCAGAGCCCTGCGCCGCTTGGAGGCTGACCCCACCCACACTCCCAAGCCTGCCCTGCCGAGTTCGGGGACTTGAGGCAAACTGAATTCCGATCCTGGCCTTTGCAGAGAGAACAAGAGCGTTATGCACCCATTTCCTAGGCCGGAGACCGGCCCGTTTCACTACTTTCTCCCTTAAAAGGTAAACTACCTGATCCGTAGGCCACCAGCGTTACCGCTCCCTCAGTCTCTTACCCACCTCAGAGGGTCCTGGGGGGTCCTCCTAGGAATTGGAGGCCTTTGCTCTATGGTAGGTCGGGGAAAGGCTGTCGGCAAGCCCCCTTAGAGACTACCCAGCGTGGGGCCCCCTTCTTGTTGGTTC